GAAATAGGATAATTTAATGAAATGGATTTACATCTTGTCTATGAGAGATAAATTCAATTGCTTAAATAATGAGTTTAACTATTTAATGAATTTGGCTATTTTTATTAATTAAAATATTGGAGAATTATTTCTACCTTGTCTATGAGGTTAGAATTTAATTCAAGCCAACCATTTTGAACACATTAATGACACCTAGAAATAGGATAAATTAATGAAAATAGTTTCTATTCTTGTCTATGAGAAAAGAAATTATTAGTCCAATTTTAGTTTTAATTTCCCTAATTACTAGGTCCAAGAATATATCCATTTCTAATTACTCGATTCATTGCCCTTATTTGCATCAATCCATTTAAGTTTAATATTATATTTTTTTTCCTTTAGTTTATTTTTGAGCCATCATTAGTATTTGCACAATTTAATTTACTTTCTTTTCCAAAAAGTAGTTTAGAAAATCAATCAAAAGTTTTAATTTGGAAAGCTTCCAATAATTTGCAATAACCTGTGACTGGACTTAAAATCAAGAAGCTCCTCCGCCATTCCTCGAGAGACACGATACTCGGGGAAAAACCGAAAGGTTAGACTCCGTTTTACTACAACGCCGCGAAGGCGGTTATCAATCAGCATCATCTTACTTGAAATAAGCAAAATTTGATGTGTGAGGTTGATTATATTCTTAAAGTTAAAAATAAAACACCTTATTCAGTCATTATTTGTGTGATACATTACATATATATCAATACATTAACCGAAAAATGATCATTAAACTACCATTTATCTCAGCTACATATGAAACATTTTGATACTAAACAAATATACATCATTTTGATATTGTATATAATTAAAGGAGTGTTTGCAGTTGATTAAAAAAAGCATTTTTCCGCTTTTGGCTTAAAAAAAGCTAAAAGGAGTGTTTTCAAATGACAACTTCTGCTTAAATTAATCACTTAAAAGCTAAAAGTTGGAAGCAGGTGGAAGGGTGCTTTAAACTGCTTTTCACTTTTTCTATTACACAAAAAGTACTTATTTTACCAAACACTACCAACCTTTACATTTTCAGAATCACTTTTTCCTCAAACACTACCAACTTTTACTATTAATCACTTTTCCCAAATTCATTTTAAAAAATCACTTTTTTAAAGTTGAAGCAATTGCAAACACTCCCTAAATCCGACCCCCCTCACACATATTTCTGGCTCTGCCCCTACAAGTAGTAGTTTCTTTTAGTTAAATAATTTGACTTCAACTATGAATTTCTTTCAAAGAAAACTAAACTGTGAATTAACCTTAGGAAAAAGCTATTGCTACCCCAATTTGTACTTCATTTTGTACTCACTCCCTATATTTGTGGTTCACAAAAGCACATCATTAATATGGAGCAATTCATTTAATGTCTTAGGCTTTTGTGAACCACACATATAGGAATGGGGTATAAATGAGGTACCAAATGGGGTACCTCTAGCAAAATTGTTAACCTTAAGCCAAAGAGATAAAGCTCCAATTTAAGTTTCACTATTATCTGCCATCTGCCGGCAAGTTGACAAGGTGCGGTCTGCTTTTGGGAATTTCTATGCATTGTAATTGATTGAGAGTTTTGTCCATGTACTTATTTTCTTTCTGACTCCCGATTTTTAGCTGGCAACCTATTCAATTAAAAATAATATTCCGTATCTAATACTCAAAAACTTTTCTACCGGTAGGCGTAGCTCAACTGGTAGCGATGAAGTGCCACAAGGGTTAGGTCCCGGGTTCGAATCACGGCAACTGCGATGAGAGGTTACTGTGCTATATAAAAATGCATAGGACCTCTGCAAGTACCGGGGACGGAGCTCCACTCTCTATCTGTCAGATTGTGATTATAGTCCAATTTACATCCTCCCATCGTGTCGTCCGGTGGGTGTGTTGGGGGGTTTTCAGGGATGGGGTGTCATCTTTTTTTCCGTATCTAATACTCCATACTACTACTCCGTATTATATTTGAGGCCCTTGTGGAATCGGAGCTCTAGGCAATTGCCTGGTTGAACTCCCCTCATGGCCGGCTTTGGGAAAAAGTAAAAGTATGAGTAAATTTGTCACTTTACTCTTATTTACATACCTAAAATAGAAAGTGAAAAATCATTTTGGGGACAACCAAAATAAGAAATTTTACAAAACAAATTAGAAGGGAGTGTTTTTTTTTTTTTTTTTTTTTTTTTTTTTCCGTAATTTGGCCATCCGAATCTAGGCTCTAGCTAGGTGCAAGCTGTCATGTAAGTTGTAGGAAGTAACATAATGCGACTGACGTCAATATATACGTACGTAGTATTAACATACGGAATACTCCGTAAGTTTTAATGAGACTGATAAACGTAGTACTAAAATACACGGAATTGAATACGTTTTAATGTGTTTGTATGCAAATATATATAATGCCCCACTAACATTGTCATTTGAGCACAAAAATCGTTGTACCCTCGATTAAAATGTATCCGAAATGGCTTGTAAGAAACATATTTTTTGCCAGTATTGTCGTCGTACTTGATGTTGTAGCATGTATTCTCGGTGTCGTTGCACTAAATAAGGTAATTACATACTCTGTAAATAAATAATCGTGATTTCGTTTTCAATTTTTAAGTTGTTATGTCGAAACAACTATTATATCTAACTAGTTGACTCGTTTTTGAGGAAAAGAGCCTCATTTCTTAGGGCTGAGTACGTATATTTGGATTCAGATCGAAGGAGATAAATCAATATAGATCGACCACGAATCGATTGTGTACATATCGATCCCGTTTTCGGTCCAAATCTTTTGAAGTTCCCGATTCTAGTCTGATCCGAATTCGAAATAGTAAAATCCAGTAATAAAATACTTATACGTACGTACTCCGTGTTATGAACAAACAAAAGAATGTTGGGTTCATTACCTTTATAAGGAATATAATAATTAAGATTTACTCCGTATATTCTATGATGAGACCCCACATCATAATACGAAGTACGTAGTATATTATACGGAGTATTATGCATGGAGGAGCGTAGCTAGGGGCTAACTATAGACCACCCCAAATTCAATTTTATTTAAAATTTTATTTAAATTATTAGGGTAAAAATACGTGTAATTTTTTCCTCAAAAAACTCTTTGCATCGGCCCAACCCAATATACCATAGCCACTGTATGCATCTTGGAGTAGAATTTAACTGAATTATTTGTTCTCAAATTTTAAATTAACTCTCGGTCTCTCACAATGCTATAGCTAGGAATAAGTTGAGGTTTTAGACAACGACCCTCGATCTAATTGGAGATGCATGAGATAATAAATCAACCCTTTCAAAAACCAATATAAATATGATATGATTGGCTACTGCTAATTATCCAGTTGACTTTTTAAGTAATAACCAAGTTCTTTCACACACACAAAAAAAAATTATCCCAAAAAAAAAATTAATACCCATGTTTTATCGTTGTATATCAGTGGTTGGTCGCCATTTGCAGGGTTTGCTTGTTTGGCGCCCATTGTTTGAAAGTGGCACATTTGTGGGCCTTGTGGCCATTTTATCTAATAGAAGAATTATACGTAGTACTACGTATTCCTTTTTTTTTTGAAAGGAACTACGTATTCCTTTTCCTTCAGTCGTGCATTTAATTATTTATTTGGATTATAATGAGACACGAAGAAGTGTGTATAATACACATACACCAATTGAATATTAAATAAGAAATCAACAAATAATTATAAAAACACAAATTGCCCTAAATAGGAGTAAAAACGTTTTGAAATTTCAAAATAGGAGTATCATTTTTTATTCCTTGAATAAGGGTAATCTGTCAAGTTTGAGAAAAATGTCATATTAAAAGCCTTGTAATGTCAAACTTGGCAGAAATTTACTTCTATTCATGGAATAAAAAATATGATACTCTTATTTTGAAATTTCAAAATGTTTTTACTTTTATTCAAGAAATTCTCTCTTATATAAATCTTCCATTACTCCTTTCAAAAAAAATTCTTCCATTACTACATACTCCCTCCGTCCCGCTAAGATTGTCCCATTTTACCTTTTCGGGAAGTCCCGCTAAGATTGTCCCATACCAAATTTGGTAAAGTTTGTGTGACTCTAAATCATTCCTACTTTATTCTTATTTTATCAATTTAATATCAACCACACAAACTCACTTTTCTTAATAACCGTGTCACCTTCTCATGTCTCAATCTTAGTGGGACGGAGGTAGTACTACTTTGGGTTGATTTTTTGGATAAATACTCAGTCTATTTTCAATTGGAATCTTTTAATTTGATTTGATATAGTGTGGTGTGAACCAATATGGTGTGGTTTGATAGATGTCTATGTAAATTTTATAATTGTGGAATTTTGATCTAATTTAACCTGATCTGAATTGATCAAGTCTAATCTGAGACTAAGACCAATCCAATAATAAATTTGATCTATTATTATTTAATTTGTTGATCTGATATATTGTCGTTGTTTGCTTCTTGGGATGATGAATAGGTGAAGCATGACGGAGATGCAACAGTTGGGAGCCTTAGTAAAATAACTCTAGTCATACTCGGGTTTTCTTGTTTCATTGCCTTGGTCGGTGCAGGTTGGTTTTGGGGCAATTGGAAAAGAAGTGGTTCCGATAATAAGGGACCCCTACGTCGCAGCGGTTGTATCTCGATATGGTTTAGCTTGTTCACAACGTATGTTTTCTTCTTACTTTTTTGATACTCCGTATATTAATTAAAGTTTTAGATTGTTTTGCGGTCCGGGCAGAGATTATATTGCAGCCGTAGCGATGACTATTGCGCCCAATGCTGTGGGCATTACTTTTTAGTTTGAAGTTTGAACAAAATAAGGAAAGTTAAAATTAGTATTGCGGTTTCGTTGCGGCTGGCCAATGACCACGGGTCCAAGAAAATAAAGTATTGGAGGCATATTAATAAATTAAGCATGGATAATTAGTTGATACAAAATTAGTTGAATGTACTAAAGTTGATAGAATTTTGATTGAAGGTGCTAGAATCTAGTAAAGTGTGAATTGGAATACTTCTATTTTTTTTTAAAAGGAAACCCCGTCATTGAATCATGATCGTTACATCAAATTCAAAGTGACCAAAATCGACTACAACATTCACCTTCCAAGTTCCAACTACTACTATTAGCCCTACGATTAGACATAGAGACAATCACCCCTGAAGGAGCAATACGAATCGCTAACCACCAGACGGACTAGCTGAATGCAGCTATTGTCGAACAAATAGATCCGTCCCCCACTAACAATATCAAAACTTGTCGTACCCTCGGTCAACGTAATAAACCTAGTATCATGAACAATAACCAAAAACAAAACGATAGCAACGAAGTTCATAATTAACAGACTAAAAATGGGGAAAATAAAATTAAGCAGGATGAACTCATTGAGCAGTTGAATCCAATCTTCCAGCGCTGTGTTCCAACCTCTAGTCTCACAGTTCCAATATGGCGGCGGCCCAATAGGGGGACGAATCTTCATCACTTCATTTTCTTCCTTCATCACCTTGATTTGCCCGTGAGTTGCCTCCATCACTTGGCCAAAATATTGCACAAACACAACCAGTCCGAAAGCAAGCAGCCTCCACATACTAATCATCTGAGCCTGCCTCCTCATCATGTTTGCCTTAATTGATGTTGACCGGCCCAAGAATCCCACCGCAACGTCCGCTTACCCGTCGTCCCTTTCTTGTTTAAGGAGATCAGCGCTTATTGGAGATGCCCTAGCAAAGTGATCGCCCTTCCCACGATGAAGCCTGGCCAACCTCTTTACCTCGTCTGCTTTCAAATTGCCGAGTGGTGTAAATCTCCAATCGACCTCACCCCCAATTTTGTTTTCCTTGGTTAAATGTTGCTTCACCAATCCGTTGCACAACCTGTATCTACGCCTTGCCCTTGAGAAAACTCTGATAAAACTCTCCCTATCCGGACAGTTGCCGTAAAAATTTCGCCGCCGCCCAAACTTACCCTAGGCAGACGCTAGGTTCTTCCGCCCGAAATACTTGTATTTAAAATATGTCTATAAAAAATACCGAAAATGTTATATGAAAAATCTTTATATATATAAAAGCTGAATCGTGAGAACAACATGTCCAAATCTGGCCATTAAATTATACACGTGTCAAAAGATGGTTCAATACAAAAACAATTGGGATTTTCCCACATCATCTACGGTCAACTTCCTAGGTATTCTCAGATGCAACTACGTGTCAACTAATTGGGTCGTTCAAATCCAATAGTGGGACAGTTACATCTCCACTTGCACGTCCTCATCATGACAGTTCCTCAATGCAGTTGTAACCCCCATATATGTTGCAGCGTAAATGAATTCTATCCAAACTCAGGAGTACGCAAAGCAGTAAGCTTTTACACCTCTTTTCCGTTTCTTAACTTTCAATCATTATAAGATTACTAGAGTTTTCACTCCGCGGCTTAATTATTGCAGACAATTCTAGACTATGTTGAAGATTATTAGAGCTTAACATCTCTAAGACAAACTGGTCATTGCGAGGATCATGCCTTGAGGAATCAGTCCTGCAATATAAAACCAAACATGTTAAAGTATATACTGCATTGTGTTACATATATATTATAATTTATAAAAATCTTGATTACTACATAAGGAGTATGTATGTTTAATAAATTTGTCACTTTTGGGCGGTTATTACTACTAAAACAAAGCAGGTTAATAAGAAGATGTTCAGATTGGCAAGTTTCACAACTTCTTTAAATCAACCTACGAATGCAGCATTTACCGAAATCAGATTCACATGAGAAATTACTCTGTGAATTACACTGAAAGAGAAGAAGAAAGTACCAATGAGAAAACTAACTCATGTAGAACCATTCTTCCTGGGACAAGCCCATTGAGAACAAGAGGCGGAATGAGGGATATCAAGGTATGTTAAAAACTCATTTATTTGTCCTCATTTACTTTATTGTGATTGATATTGCTATTTCAACTGATTTATAAATGCAAAAATACTTTAGAATAACAAACATGTGACCTTTGTGAATTTGGTGAGAAGTGAGAGAATTGAAAACTAAAAACAGGTGAACAATTACCAAACGAGCAATATAAATGAACATTTAAATGAACATTAAGAAGATCCTGAAGAGTAAAAAAAAAGTACATAGACCCACGCAAAGAATAAGACCTTAATTCTCTAGCACAACTATGGTTATACACTTATACTTATACACATAACCAAATCAAAAGAGATCATAATGAACTCTCAAAAAAAGATCATAATAAAAGTCTATTATTTTGATAATAACAAAATTGGAAGTCTTTTGTAATAATGGTATTAGTTACCGAATTTCAAATGCTTAAATTTAATGATACTCTAGGCCAGTGTGCAGATAACCATAGAGTAGAAAGGAAAAACCCATTACTATAGATAAATTAAACACATAATGGAAGTTATGCTATATAATATGCAAAAAAATGCTTCCAAATGAATGCAGCACTTTCAGAGAAATTATTGGCTTATAGAAAATCTAAAATCCTAATTTCATAATAATTATAACACTAACAGCCATACAAAAACCTATTTTTTGGAATAGAATGAAATAGAATAAACTATGAAGTGAGAATAAAAACAAGTGTGAATTTTAATTACTTAAAATTTAAGATAAATGTAAAATACATGGGGCAGTATATGCCAAACTAAATGATAGACAAAAGTAATATGTAATCACATTTCAATCGATCATATCTAAGATTAGAACTAATATTTTAACAAAAATAGAATAGTTTTTAATTTTTTATATTTATAACTTATCTCATCCTGGGTGGTAAACCCACTGCCAGGGATGTCGTGTAGACAACATCTTTTTCCAATTTGCAAGTTTGATGTATAAACTGTTGAAGAATTGTGCAATAAATTAGGAGAAGAAACAACGTAGAGTTTGAAAGTATAAAATAAATAGATGTGATAAACAAAAAAGTAATAGCTCAAAGGACTAACCAAATTGGTGTACTGGAGAAAATTTGCAGATATTGTGGTTTATCTGATGTCTATGCCTGAACAGAGAGTGGGTCGGGGATGGGAAGAAAGACCTATATGCTTCTAACCCTTAGCTGGAGGACGGAAAGATGTTGACGGATAGAAGGATTAGAAGGATGGGAGCGTGAGATGGTGGGGAGTTCTGGAGAATTCATGAATGAGAGGATGTGAAGCTGGAGGCGGAGATAAGGGTTAGCCGAGGCTCGGGAGTGTGAGAGGATGTTCTGGAGAATCTGTCTGAGAGTGGACTGAGCCTGTATCTTTGTGTATATACAGAGGCCTAGGATTTGGGTTGGATTGGACCAGACTGTGTATGGACTTGGAGAGTTGGAGGCGGTCCAGTTTACTAATTTCTTTGATTCTTTACAAACAAATATACAGAGTATATTTCTTTTTGTCATAATTATATTCCAAAGTTCTTAAATAAATATGTCTTACATTAATACTACATCTTTAAAAAATTAATATTGCATCATTAAAAATATGTATATATTTTGTTCCGTGCATCGCACGGGTACAATACTAGTAGATAAATAAAGGGGTTAGATCCTGAATATTACTAATTAAAAGCATTTGGACAAATATAGGACCTCATTCCATAATTGCCAAAAGAGAGACTCATCCGTTAGATCGATGAGTTAGTTTGGGATGGAATTATCGATTATGCCCCTACGGCCCTACCTAATCAATTACTTCGTAATATGCAGCAAACTTAAACATGCTTCCGTTAGATTCTTCCTAGCCGTTTCCTATGAAATTGCTACAGATAAAACACAAAAATGGACTTATGTATCCAACATTTATTAATTTATTAAGTGACGATTTACACTTTTTGGATTCGACATTTACCATTATACGTTCAAATGATTATAGTAAGTCGGCGATCAGCTGGGCCGGACCGCTTCCTCTCCGTTTGATTGGTTATAATTACACGTCTGGCCAGTTATCTTGTTATTGCACGAACAGTTACAGTTATCCGCTTGACAAGCTATAGTTACATGCCTCGAGTTACAGTTACCCGACCCATCGTCCAATTACAGTTATCAGATCCGTCCAGTTACAGTTACAATCGTCCAGTTACAATTTTCAGATCCGTCCAGTTACAATCATCCGACCTATCCAGTTACAGTTATCTGACCCGTCCATTTAAAGTTACCTGACCCGTCCAGTTGCAGTTACCCGACCCATCATCCAATTACAGTTATCAGATCTCATCCAGTTACAGTTACACAATCCAATCAATTATCGTTACCTAACCTGATAAAATGTTTGACCAAACATGTTACTTGACCACTTACAATTACTTGTTTCTACCCGTTTGCAATTACTCAATCAGACCAATTACATCTACTAGAACCGGCTCATTACACTAATCTGATCCAATAGTGACCATTGCTAGTCCGCCGGCCACCGCTGTCGGCCACCAACGCCGGTGACCGGCTGACGCCCTCACTCCAGCTGGCAGCAGCCAGCCTCCCTGGCCTGTCTCCAAATCAAATCCCAGTACCCTCTTCGGCATACCCAACTGTTAAGACCCGGGGTTCCATCCTAAAAGGTCAACCTGATAGGAGGAGTAGCCCGTGTGTTAATATAGCACTTTGTTCATCCAAACGTTTCCGGTGTGGGACATTTAACACCCCTCCTCACGACTAAACACTTCGTCTGGATCGTGCAATCATTCATTTTTTTTTCATCGGTCCGTTATTTTTTTTTCATCCGGCCATTTTATTAATCGTGTCATCACGATTCATAAGGGGCCCCACATCATGGATCGATTTGGCTCTGATACCATGTTAAGACCCGGGGTTCCATCCTAAAAGGTCAACCTGATAGGAGGAGTAGCCCGTGTGTTAATATAGCACTTTGTTCATCCAAACGTTTCCGGTGTGGGACATTTAACACCAACCCCAAATCCCCTGCCACTGCCGACCGCCGCAGCCCCAGTCACTGCTGCCCCTGGCCACCACACCCCACCCCTAATAACTGGAAGACTGCAACCACCGCACACGACCGCCCCTCAATAGCGACGATCTCTGTCGCCCAAGCAGTCCCTTCCCCAACCCCTAGCCCTCGCACGACCATAGCTCATGTATCGCCCCAGCACACCACCGCCCACGCCCAAAAAACCCTAGCAGCCACGCCTCTCTGTAAAATCGTAGCCGAATCGCCCAGCCATACTCGATTTCAAACCCAAGCTGTCGGAGACGCCATCGCCGACCACCGCAGCCCCGTCGCCATCGATTCTCGATGGTTCAGTCAGAAGAGAAGAATAGCAGAAAGGAAGATTACTTGGGACGTCGGCGGCGGCGGCGGCGGTGTAATGGGAAGGAGATGGTGGTGACAGGCATGGAGGAATGAATCGCAGTCTTAGATGGATCGAGCTATGCAGTGTCGCAGAGATGGTCGTAGCAGGAGGGATCGATCAATGGATAAGGATTTGGGTCTCTTTTTTTAACCTAGGGGTGTTTTAGCCTCATTTGGTAATGTTTAGTCTTATTTTTGTCCAAATTGAAAACTGGTCCTAGTTGTGTCAATACCGAAGTCCATAGTGTTATTTTGTCATTCTTTCATAAATAAATCAGTTTAGCAAACACAACTAATTCATTATCCAACTCTAACTTTACTTATTTATCTATATATTATACAATTGGAAGTCACATTGACATGTGTCACTCCATTATATTGACATGTGTCAATTTATTATTCATTGTTTGCCACATGTCACCTCATTATTGTATATAAATTATTGTTATAATAATTAATACTCTTCACATATATATATACATTTGGAAACTTATTACGTACATGTTTGTTATTTAAGGAGTTAATGCTTTAAATTACTCTTCATATACATTGTGGAAACTTAAAGTTACGTACATGTTTCTCATTTAAGGAACTGAATACTCATACATTTGGAAACTTAAATTTTAGTTATTGAGGAGTAGTGGTTATTATATAATTTATTTTGTTCAATAAGATAGTTTATAAGTCTATAACTTTTATATGTTTAG